CACATTTACCTTCCCAGGTGGGGGAGATTTGTCTTGCTGAGGATTACTAAAAAGGCTGAAACAAGGAATTCTTGTAAGAATTGTTGAACAATGAAGACACAATAATAGAATTTTTAACTAATTTAATCATCAAACTAACTTCTCTATGGAGAATTTACAAGAAATTAAGCCAAACCTAGCAGTAAAGGAATGGCAGAGCTCACAGAAAAGATGAGGAAAATATTAATTTTGTCCTACTTATACTGGACTAAGAAGCCTACTAATCTGACTACTATAGACAGACATTTAAAGAGATTCAGATGATGCCTCTGGTATTATTTTTCTCCCTATGAAAAAGCATTATATGTACAGTATTTACTCCTGTGCCATTTTACAGGATGCAGCTTTTCCCAATACAGAGCAAGAAAAGAAAAATCCAACTTACCATTGTCTAGCTATTTTTGTATTTTTCTAGAATAGCAGTTTGAATCCCAGATACCAATAACAACGCTTTAAACTAATATGTTCCCTAAAAGCTTTGACCACAGGAAAAATTATGATGAAAACCACAGTCAGTGGTTTTTTTTTTTTTAATCTATATTATGAGCCATCAGTGAGCACCCAGCAGCAAGTATGTTTGAAATCGAAGCTTTTCATAAAAGAAAAGCACACCTCAATATTATTTTATTCATTGCTAACTGACAGTGCCCTGAAGAGGGAGAGAGGGGCAAATATGGGTTATTTGTACATATAAAGGTGTAAAGCTTGCTATAATATTGACAAGAACCAGTATTTTAGATGCAGTAGAGCATGTCTTAAAAGCCAGAAGAACTACATTAACATGTGAAACTATAACCTCTAAAATAAGGCCAAAGTTACTGCCACATAGGGCTGCTGGCTATACAAGTGTTGCTTCAGCAAACTGAAGACACTTGTGGGCTGTTTTAACTTACAGTGCACTTCTTGTTTCTTCCTAATTCTTATTTTTGAAAATTTGTTCCTGTTTATCACTCCTTTATTTGGATGTAACCTTCTTTCTCCAAACACATGGTATTTTCCAAAATATACTCCAGATTCTAGAGATAACTACTATATTATATAATTTGATCTTCTGAGCTCCTCTTTACACTTTAAAATTCTAGTAGAAGATAAAACACATGGGCTAAATCAGCTAAAAACACAGCTCATAAATCTATTTCTGTTCAACTCTGGAAGTTTTGAATAATGTGCTTTCAATAAGCATCTGTTGGGCGCAGTTGACATAATACCAAAATTCTTCACCCCTTAATTTTTAAAGAAGTTATTGTTGTATATAGTATTCTGTAGCAGAGCTGCATATAAAATATTTAGTTAAGGACTGCATGAAAACAAATAGTGTACTGTAGTCACAAATTACTACATTAACATGCCAAAAGGCTTCCAGTAAACATTAGAAAGACAGAAGTAGAAATGGAAATAAGAATCCTTGGAATGCAATGAAAGGTGGTATTATAAACTCCTCAGGACTTGCAAACTGGAACAAGAATTGCAGTTGCTCCATTTATGTCTTAAATAATGACTTTGTATACTAGTTGTTAGCCTTACTGAAATCTATACAACAATATTTTTCAATGCAAAAATACAAACAATATAAAATATTTTTCTCACAAGAAGCATAAAAAAACAAGAGGGAAAAAAAAGACTGCCCTTTCTCCTTTTGTTTAGGTGGGCTGATCTCCAGAAACACCAAACACTTGCAAGCATTCAGTACCTACAAAGATCAAGCTCCAAGAACCTGTGCTCTAAAAGAAAGAGGCAAATGGATTAGGTTGTATTCCTTCTGCATGAAATCAGCCTCCTAATGTGTCTGAACAACAAAATAAACCTTTGAAGTCTGCAAAATGCATGGGGAAGCAGTAATTGTTACTTTTGCATCCCTGAAAAATGAGGGGTATATACTCTGGAATTAAAAAGCTTTAGCTAAAAACTATTGTAGTGCTAGAAGCCAGCTCTTCTCCTTGCCAAAGTAAATGCAGTAAATATGGAATACAGAACAATTGCTGTAAAAATGTCTCATCACTGTTCCTTTTCAATTAGTTTCAATACAGGCAGTCTGTTAAATTACAGGAGAAAGAAATACTTACAGAGGGAGTATTTCTAATCAATATAAAATCACTGGTGGCTGGTTTAAACAAGCTGTGGTGTTCGTATCACTTCATTTTAGGAATGCAAGGGTAGGATTCTTAAGTACACTGCATTAGCTGAAGTTTCCCAGGTGAGTCAGTCTGTCTTGCAGGGCTGGGTCAGTGATGTGTGCTTTGGAATGTCAGCTTCAAGATACACTCAAAAAAGACAAAGACACCCACCCACACATAGGTGCTGCCAGGAAGGAAGCAGTGGGACAAGGCAGGCTTTTGTGGCACTTCCCATGTCCTTTTCCTCTCAGGCAGGACATCTCACAAACGTGTTTTAGATAAATGGACACTTCTTTCTCTGCAAAGGTGGGAAAACACTGAACACTATCACAGTGCTGCTACTACGTTAAATTGATGTTGACTGTTTTGTAGTGTATAACATTTCAACATGCAATACTTGGAAAGCAAATGGTAATTAATAAGCTGATAAGAGTACAGATGTTTACAAAAATCAGACACTTCACTAGCATAAAAATTATTGTTGGAAAGCTACCATTATATTATATAGACTTGTTAGTCTAAACATTACCATCATGGCATGAGCTGGCTATCCAAGATTCTTATGGAACAGATGCATCTGTATGGCTTTTGATACTTACATAAGGGAATGAACAAAAAAAATCACATTTATTTCAGAGAGGAAATAAGCCTACTCAAAATCAAAAAGTGTCACGAAACAGAACAGTACTTCTAGGCACAGGTAAGTGAAGGAGTGTGATTTCTGCTCTTAAATATCTTTGTAGTCAAATTAAAATTTAAATATATTCTGAAAGTCTCTGTGGAATGAGAAGGAAAAAAAGTCCTTTATCTAGGATAATGAGCTGGCTGACTAAAACACCAGACTATTTTGCATCTTAATATCAGGCAGAATATTTATACTGAAGAGCCTCTTGCTATGTAAAGTTCTCCTTCATGAGATGGATTAATGGAAATTTAGAGGTGTAACAAGACTAAAGATGGATAGGGTGAAGTCTTCTACAGTTATCTTTTTTCCCTGGCTTATAAAGAGTTCAATAAGGTCAATACAATTTGAGTAAGACAGATCATATTTCTTTCTTCCAAATCTCAAAAGCATGCAATTACTATTACTTTTTTGCAAATACATTTGGCTTGCTAGAGTGGAAATGCTTATGAAATTTCATGAGAAATCAAAATTCTCTATGCAAAATGAAAGAAGGTTATTTTCATGGACAATGGAAGACTTACTGCTATTTTCAAATAGCAAACATGGGAGTTCACTAGAATGAGAAAATAAAAGTAAAAACCGATCTATTTGTTGAGATGGGGCTTTCATTGTGGAGTATGTAGTTCTAGTACAGGGACTACTCCTATATGAATCATTCAGAAAGCTGAGAGAGAGTAGCTTCCCAAAAGAAAATGCAGTATTTACATAGCGCTGTGTCTTAAGCAGTTATATATGACATATACATACACCTACTCTCAAAATACATCACCATTGCCAAGAACTACATTTGACAATATTCTTCCATCCTCCACAGGGAGATTTGCTTTCACAGCTCAGCAAAGACTGCCCTAGCTTTTGAGCTATGCCACAGATATTAAATGACAGTCAAAAATCAGTAATGAGTCCAGAAAGCATAATGCAGACAGTGGAAGTGAGACAGCAGGGAATGGTCAGACCCAATAGGAAATTGGATGCAAACCTCCACACACAGGTCAGCCTGGAGCTGGGACCCTGACCAACCCCTCCACACACCCCACTCACAACTCCACCAGCTGCAGAATAGCTGCTGAACACTGGAAAAAACAAACCAACTTTGTGTGGAGTAAGGATATAGGCTTAAAATAGGGTGAGTTGTCAGAAAATTGCAGTTGCAAGGGCTTTTGCCGTGATGTCCTCCAAGAGCATGCCATATCTGTGCGCACTAGGTACATCTGCCAGGTGCTGTGCTGCTGGGGTCATAGAATCACAGAATTGTTAATACTGGAAGAGACCTCAGGAGATTGTCCAGTCCAAACCCCTCCCAAGGCAAAGTCACCTAGGGCAGATCACATGAATGTGTCTAGGTGGGTTCTGAACCTCTCCAGAGAGGGAGAGTCTATAACCTCCTTGTACAGCCTGTTCCAGTGCTTTGCTGCCCTCAGCATAAAGATCTTCCTCCTGTTGAGGTAGAACTTCTTGTGTTTTAATTCATGGCCATTGCTCCTCATCCTGTCACTGGGCACCACTGGGAATAGCCTGGCACCATCCTCTTGGCACCCTCCTTTGAGATATTTATATGCATTGATGAGATTCCCCTCAGTCTTCTCCAGACTGAAGAGGCCCAGCTCCTGCAGTCTCTCCTTATAAGAGATGCTGCAGACCCATAATCATCTTTTTGACCCCGTGGTGGACCCCCTCCAGTATGACAGGTTAAGGTGTTCAAGAAGCTTTTGTTGGAGGTTTCGCCACGATGTTTTCCAAGAGCACAGCACACTCTGCGTGCACCAGGCAAGCCTGTGGGGTGTGCGACACCGCCCTCCCCTGCTGGCTCTCCAAGGGAGGGCGCGGGACAAGGCTGGGCTGGGCAGGGCAGCTCAGCCTACGCCGCGCCCCTCCACCCGGGGCACCACGGCTTCGTCCCGCCACATCTGCACCGCAGGGCGAGCGGGACTGCCCCAGCCTCCGCCGGGGCCACAGCCGCTCTGCTCCCGCCCTGAGGGGAGGGCAGTCTCGTCCCGCTGAGCCCGCTCCCCACGGAGCCCGCACAGAGCAGCTCCGCTCACCCTGCCCACTCCGCCATGGCGGCGAACGGCTCCTCCCGGCATGCCCGGCATTTCCCGGCCGCGCTGCCTGGAGACGGCGGCCGGGGCGGGGCGGGGAGGAGCGGGGCGGGAAGGGGAGGATGCTGCGGCCGCCGCGGGGCGAGGCGGCGGCAGCGGCGGCAGGAGTAGCGGTACTTGGCGGCGTAGAGGATGCGGCGGCGGTGGTGTCGGCAGCAGCTGGCGGAGGAGCGGGGAGCGATGCGGTGCTGCGCGGCGGGGCCGTGGCCGCACAGCGCCCTCACCACGCTCCTGCTGACAGGTCGGTCACGGCGCGTCTCCCCGCGGCGAGCGGTGGCGGGCCCCGCCGGCAGCGGCCGGCCTGCGCCGCGGCGCTGCCTCTGCTGGGGCTTCGCGTCCCCTCCCGGCGGAACCACCCCCCGCCTCGCCCTCCGGCTGCGCTGGCTGCGCGCCCCATTCCCGCTGCTCCGTCCCCCTGTCAGTGCGGGGGCCGGGCTGTCCCAGCATCTCCCCGTGCTGGCAGCTCCCGGAGGACGCTCCACAGGCGGCGCGGGGATGGCGGCCTGCGCGCCCCGGGACCGCTACAGCCCCTCCCGGCACGGCGGGGCCCGGGCTGAGGGAGCCCGGGGGCGGTGGGTGAGGCCGGAGCGGGAGTGCCGGAGGGCGCGGGAGCCGGGCCTGGATCAGAGCCGCTGGATGGCGCGGGAGCCTCCGCTCCCGGGGACTGGGCCGGGCCCGCTGCGCTCCTCCGGTGCCTCGACCTGGTGCCTGAGGCGAGAGACGGGCTGCTGTGTGTACGGGGGTGTCTGTAGTGTTCCCCTTCTTCTCCGTTACTTCCCCTCTTGACCACCACTTAGTCCAACCGAGCCAAAATTAGGAATTCAGAAAAAGTCTTGATCCTGGTCCCTAAAAGCTAAATAATAGCTTTCATGCAGGTTTTTCGCCTGCAGGTTCTTCACAGTGAAATACATTAAACAACCGACACTTAATAGCAGCCCAGCCACAGGACTGCCTTTGTGAGACTTGTTACACCAAGAGTAAGTTAACAGCGAGAAATCTGTTTGGGTTATTTTGAGTTCTGAGAGGTCAGTGGTGTGTTTTCTGCAAGCAGTCTGCTCTGTTTCCTTTTGAATAGTATCTAGGTACCCTCTTAGTACTTCTTTTACTTATGACCATACTTGTCATAGGTTATTAGCCACAGAATTGACATGAGGCACTGGATATATTAAAGATGTGGTGAGAACTTAAGTGTGAATTTGTTCAATGTGAGGATAAAACTTCATTTGTTAGATGCAAGACAAGACTCCTTTTCCCTTACGAGGAAATTTTTCCTACCTCTTCCGCCTTCCCCTTCATGACTGATTATGGGATAACAACCAGGGAAGAACTAGGACAATTGAGAATAAGCTTTCAGTATCAACTGAAATGATGTATTTTACAAAGGTCAACTAAATGACCTTCTAGAAACTGAATTGTGAGCTTAATCCACAAGTCCTTTCCAGGCTACGTGGTAAGGGAAGAGGTCTTTCATGATAACTTTTCCACTTAAACCTTTCTAAGGTTGTTTCAGTGAGATTTCATTAGTTAAAACAGAAGAATATGTGGTTTGAAACTGATGTAAAAAAGGAGGCATGAGCTTTAGTTCATGTTTCTTTTAGTTTAGTTACATTCTTTTAAGAGATATCTATATAAAATCTGTGGAGATTTGTCGTATGTTCGTGATCTGAACAAAGCTGTCCCAGGAGCTTACCTGAGTTCCCCTCTATTCTCCCTAAGTAAAGAAGTTCCAACCTTGTCTGCTGCTCCAAGATGCATTGCCCAGCATGAAAATCCATTCTTTTGAATCCTGTAAACTTTACAGTACTGCAGCATTACTTAACAAGGCAAGAGATATCTGACAGACAAAATGGCATGTGTGAAGTAGCGCAAGACTTGTAAATAGATTTATTTTTGTTTTCCTCAACTAATATGGATTAGTTTTTTCCCCATTTGTGTTGTAGCACTTGATCTACCAAAGAAAGTTTACTTATGATTTTTGCATTTCTTAAAAATGCATGACAAAAGGCTTCCTGGAGGAGGATAACTGCTGTCAGACCTCAGAAGGGTTGTCTGCCTCTCACTTCTCCCTATCCTCCTTGAGGCAAAACATTATTTCATCATCCGGGAATTTCACAAGAATTAAGACTTTAAAGGTTGTAAGAGTGATTTCAGTTGCTCCTAGGGGTCTGGTATAGTACTCAAATTGAAGCTATTGACTCCCAGATGCAAGCTGATGATGCTACACTGCTACAAAAACATGGGACTTCATTGTGAGAAGTGATATATAGGATTAAGCATTCCTGCTAGAAACTAGTCAGGTGTTCTTTGACTCTAGCTTTATATAACAGACTTCCTAGAAGTTTGCTCAGTTGCACTAACAAGCTCTGTCATATTAGTTTGGCAGAGCAATGAGTTGCCCCCATATTGTGTATCTGCAGAGAGAGCAGTTATCAAAGCTTCTTTTGAGTGACTGTGGCCGGTGGTTTTGCCCTGTATTTCTGCACTTAGAATCAGTTGTCAGTGCCCATGTTGTCCCTGGAACCCTGGTTTATTTGTTGTAGAGAAATGGAATTGCATTCTCCTTTTCCTATAAAGGGGTCAAAATGAGGAAGAAGCTCATTAGTTCTCACTTTGCAAGCTGTGGTTATGTGGTCACATTAATTTCTCATAAGGCTGCACTGCTGCCAGAAAGCATTCTCCAGCCCTTGCACAGCTAGGGATTATTTGCTGCTTTCCCTAGTGACAAATAAACTGGTACAGTGACGCTGTGGATTGGGTCACCTTGCTCAAAACTACTTGACCCACAGGAATAGTTCACTGAAGTGTAAGTGCTGCCCAGGACTGGTTTGGGATTGTTTCCACGGGTGTGTGCTGGGTGATGCAGAATGTGCTGGCAACGCCCCTTTTGAGCAGGGCTGCAGACTTGCCCATTTAGAAGAGCTGTGAAATCACTGCCTGGGGCGGGATCCAGGAGGCTGAACCCATCCCTGCCCTGCTGTTGACAGCAGAAGTGCTGTTGGCAACGCTCCTCTGCTGAGCCGCGCCCTGTGCAAGGAGGCACAACATCTCACACGTGCTCTGGTGTTCTCCAGCTAACACCACAGCACACCTGCCCTTGTTCCTGTTGTGCTGCAAGCATAAGAGCAGAGAAGCAGGTTTCCTGCAGAGAGCCTCTGAATGTCTGCCTGCCTATGAAGATACCGCCTGTACTGCTAATCTGAGCCAGGTCAATACAATCTACTGTCAATAGGTACTTACTTGAATAAGTAATTACAGGAGGGGAAAAGATAGCTGTTTCATTAATATGCTTTTCATTACAGAAACATATTATTTATAGCCAGTACATGGAGTCATCTTGGAGGTCCTAAAGCCAGACAGTAAGAAGTCAGCTTTATGGCAGGAGATGTAACTGCTCAGTGTGTAGAGAGGCTTAGTTTTGCTCCTTAATGGTTTTAGATTTGGTTGGAAGTTCATTAAAGTACTTCAGGGATTGCAGTCACTGAAGTAAAACCCTTTCTTTAGAAGAAAGATTATTTCCAACCAAAGAAAGAAGTTATTTAAAGCCTAGACAAGAGTATCTGGTTTTTTCAGTATCTGAAGAGCTTTTGAATTCTTCCTGAATAGAGGGTGATAAATTTACAGTAGTCACTATGGGTGTAGAGTATCTTCCGTGGCAGACTTCTAGATGAAAGAAGAGAGTTGCTAGTTTTGATTACTTCCATAGGAATTTGAGTCTGTATCTAAATGTTGTTACAATTGCAACACAGACAGCCAAAATGTCTTTTAATTGTAGGTTATTTTAGTGACAGTCCAAACTATGAAAATGAGAAGTTAGAAAGAACAACCTACTGAGCAAGCAGAAATCTTAGTGTATTGAAGCCAATGACTTTTCTGAATTCCTTGTCTTTCAGAACAATTGCTGCCTCTGAAATCTGGAATGCAATTGCAGGGATACCCTGATAGTTCATATCAAAAAGATGATAGAAATGTGTGAGACATCCTGGAATAGCAGGCCGCCAGGGTGGCCTGGTCATACCCCTTTGGTTACACTCAGGCTGGAACCACAGGAACTGACAATGTTTTCCTCACCTTCGTGGAAATGCTAACTTAAGTTTTCTCTTGTCAGGCCTGCAGTAGGAGGGAGAATGGTGGTGGGTAAATGTTACTGTTAATGAATCATGAGGGTTTTGTTCTCCAAGTAGTTAATTTGTAGCATTCCCATGAATGCTAATGCTGAAGTTTAACAGTAAGACTGATAAATGCTTTATTTGGTTACATTACTTCAATGATTTAGGAGAAATGTTCAGATGTTGCAGTAATCAGTGGATAGCACAGGAGCAGATGGAAAACCATTGCCTACTGAACAAAGATTAATAAGAATAGAGCCGAGAAACATTCCTGGGGTTGATTTGGACTTTTAAAAGTTTGAATGTAGAGGGACCTGAGCAATCTGTGATGGAAAACTGATACAAATTAATTCCTGTTTCTTACATAGTAGCTGTTGTTGAAAAGGGTTAAAATATATCCAGTTTCAATGTGAATTTCCACTGAGAGAATCCCTTCTAATTAATAGTAAATTTCTGCCACGTACTAGCTAGTAGGCAAGAGGACTGTGTGGAAGTTGGAAGAGAAGGGAGAGTAGGTGGGCGCTGCAACTTCTGCCTGCTTTAGTGGATGATGTGACCAGCTGGGCAAGTATCCAGTGCGGACACCAGTGGATCCTCAGTAACTGCCTGGCTAAGAGCTCTGATTTCAGCTGTGGGCTATGCACCTTGCAGGTGGTTCTCTCTTCACAGATGTTTCATTTCAACTTATGGTGTCATTTTCTAACTGTTCTGCTGTGTGGTTCCCTGCAGTCCTTCAGAAAAATGTGCTGTGTATGAATCTGCACTTCCAGCTCGGAATTCAGAGGAAGGAGGACCGAGCCAGATGGGATATGCAGTAGAGGAGGGCAAGGGTAGCTTTTTGCAGTGGGGTTGTGCTGTAAGAGAGTGAGGGGCAGTGTAAGCATGGCCAGAGGCCCTGGTCTGTGGCATCAAACTAGCAAGCATGTGTTTATGTCAGGTCCCAGGACAAGGTGAAGGTGTAGGAGAGAGGGGAAGTGGCTGGGTTTGATAGCCTGAGCTGTGTACTGCTTTAATAGTAGGAGAGATGGGCTTGAGATCCTACTTCAAAGAAGGAATAAGAGGATAGGTGGAGGTGCAGGATATTGCTTGGAGGTCAGAGTGCAGTAAAGCAATGGGGAAGGTAAAATTGGTCCAT